TTACCCGACTCCTTAACAAAACTCTATTGTTATGAAACTCAAATAAATAGCTTACCAACTTTACCCGACTCCTTAACGAAACTCGACTGTAGTAATACACAAATAAATAGCTTACCAACTTTACCCGACTCCTTAACAAAACTCTATTGTTATGAAACTCAAATAAATAGCTTACCAACTTTACCCGACTCCTTAACGAAACTCGACTGTAGTAATACACAAATAAATAGCTTACCAACTTTACCCGACTCCTTAACAAAACTCTATTGTTATGAAACTCAAATAAATAGCTTACCAACTTTACCCGACTCCTTAACATTACTCAGTTGTAGTAATACTCAAATAAATAGCTTACCAAATTTACCTGATTCCTTAACAGATATCAACCCTCAATCTTTAAAAACTCGATATATCAATAATATTCAATGTATTATATGACCCTTCTTTGTTCATGATTTCTTTGTAAGTGTCCGCATGATAAACTTTATTGGATTTAAAACTTGATATTTAATTTTGTTTAATTTATATCCTTTTAATACGTATTTGTTTATATGTTATTCAAGATATTTTTTTATATTTTATACAATAAATATTATTTATTATATTTCATAGCTTTTTAAATTGCTTTTCATGTATATTAAAAAAAAACTTACTTCAGAGGAGCTTGTAAAAGAAACTCTTTGCAACATCATGATCTTTTATTTCTTTTTTAGTTGTGAATATTAGTCTAGCCGATTACGATTTATTGTTGATAATATAGTTGTAAATTACATTGTTAATACTCCAAATGTAATAGACATATGCTTCAAGATATGTGACTTCACTCGAATCATAATCTGAATTTTAAGAGTCACTATATTGTTTAAACGATAAGACGCATTAAGATATGATTGTATTAGTTATAAATTTTATAATAATCTAAGTGAAGTTCTCATAAATTTAAATGGAATACTCACTTTCTAAAATTCAAGTAAAATAAAATGAATCATATATTATTAAATCTTTGGCAATTTGTATTATTTGAAACAAAATGAATCACTCGTGCTAAACCTCACCTTTATTTCTACCGTAATGACATGAAGTATCAAATTATAACTTAAATAGGAATGTATTAAAAATTATTTTGAAAGGATTAGGATATTTATAACTTAATTTAATCCAAGAATTAAAGAAACGTGAAAATAATTTTGAAAATACAAAAATAAAACTAGTAGTTTTTAAATTTTTTATTTATTTAGGCACGTGACACAAAACGTGAATAATTCATTCGAAATGTTTTAATTCAATAATTAGTGCTAACCGGCTGAGACTAGAAAGTTCAGAAAGGAAAGAGGTACAATGGGTTTTATTTTAATCTCGTAAAATCACCAATTCATTCTCCTAATCAATGATATTTTCGATTCGTTTTGTTTTCATATATGTATGTATGTCACTATTGACCTATATGGAATGATTCCTGAATCTTTACAAATGATTCTAAATTAATGACAAAAGTTCAATTGAAAAACCATAGTATAAACCATTTCAGCTAAATAATTAAATAGTCACTTTACCTGAAATAAAGCGCAGTTTACATTATATTTGTAAAGGTTCATCTTATATTAATTCCAATCTTTTAACACGTATTGATCCGCTGTTCTATAATCATACGAAAGAAGCATTAGCGATTCCCATGTTTGTGAAACCGATAACCGTAAAAATTGATGTTAAAATAATTACAATGCGATAATTGATTGATAAATTTTAAAAGAATCATTAACGACGTTCCTTATGGTATTTCTGGTTGCAGTTCGACATCAATCGTTTATTATAATGATGAGTTCCACTAACGATTCTTTATTAGCATGGGCTAATCGTACAAGTGCAAGGCTGAAAGAAATTGTCAACTTTATAATTCTTTATACACTTTTCTTGTTTCTCGTTTTGTTGACTTAATTAACCCATGCGATAACATATGATATCTTTAAATAGGGATTGGAATTATTACTACCAAAATCGAATTTAACGAAAATCGAATTAAAAAATCATATCAATTTTTAGTGACACAATAAGTGCACTAGGTAGGGAGTCCTGATGCGTAATTTAACATCCACTACCACCCTAGTGTCAAGTACTGGGAGACACTTACCAGTTATTGGCTTCATTTTTATTTGAAAAATAATTCGAAAAAAGTTCGATAGGCACCAACTCTTCGCCTTTATTTTAATTTGTTCTTCAGTAATATCTTTAAGGCAATCACCTCCAAAGGTTCAAAGTATCAGGATCGTCGATTTTTAACATTCCTTTTTTCTTATTCCAAATAAGATACTTGAGTTCTCCAATTTTAAGATCATCAAAGTCGATTTCATTTCAATTAATATCGTTTTTATCACAAACGGGAACCGTGAAAAAATCGAAAAGAGTAGTTATACAATTTAACGACAATTTCATTTTGGAGATAATTCTGTAAAGCGACAGAATGAAATATTAGTGAAAATATTTTTTTAGAGAAATAAGTTTCGAGGAAACTTGAAATATATACAGTATATCCTTTATATATCTTGGCTAGAATCTTGCATAAACTTTTTGTGGCTTGTTGTGACGTAATAAAGTAAAAAATTATTAAGCATAGTAAAAAAGTAATTTATTCAGTACGTTTAATACCGGTTTTCTCATTACTCATTAGATTTTTGATTCACCGACGAATTTTCAGGGTCCAGTACGATAATACGGACTAATTTTATAAATTCGTAGTATTTGTGTATATCGCCCTTGTTTTTTTAGAAAAATAAATTTTATTAATTTATTTGGTGATTTTTTGATCTGATAACAATTTAAAAAAAAATTAGAGATTTCTTTCAAAGAACAAAAAAATCTCAATTTTCTCAATTTTATTTTTTTTTGTTTTAAATATAAAAATGTCACACTCAGAGAATATCGAACCTCCGACCGATAAACTTTAGTTAATAATCACACCAAGTAACGTATTTATAGAAATTTACATATAGTCCATATACTGTATGTAATAGTATAAACGCGATGAGAATATGGTTAAAGGACAAAAAGAGAGGTCTCAAATCAATTATCTGGAGTGACACACAGGTGAAAGTGTTGTTGGAGGAAGTTGCAAGGAAATCATTAAGAAGGAATTCGAGGATGAACTTAAGGCAAAAGATGTCAGGTCAATCGACTCGGAATAACAGGAGAGTCGTCCACAGAAACGGATATAAATTATAAAGAGGATAACGAGAAAGAGATGGATAAAAAAGCAAATGAGGTGATGTATATTGAGTAAGCCCTCTATGTTCCTATTAAATCTTTTTGAAATCAAATTCAATGGTTAAGATCTCATTTTAGCGATTCTGATGTTTTTCCTGAAACAGATCCATCTTGTTGCCATTCTCTATTCCAATGTTGGATGAAATGTATAAAATCAAATTGAAAGATATCGACGATATGGATAGCGGTGAATCAAAAGTTTTGGTCAAATAGGTGTTCAATAAGAGTATAAAGAAATCTTCGGTATGATCCATAATATTTATATGAAAAAACGGAGATTGTCCGCTTAATCATAAAACTGAAAATAAAATATTAGAGTTTAATAACGAAGATTGGTATTAAGGCCTTATATAACTCATTCATCCGTTCTTTTTCCTTTGTATTCTTTTTTTTTTATTTTTTATTAAAAAAAAAATTGATTCAGTTACGATGATGTAATGTAATATTAAATTTACCTGAGGTGAAATCCATGAAAGAGGTGACGTTGATAGAAAACTTTGGAAACTTTTCTGTTCGGATATCCTTCCAGCGCAAATGATCCACTAAAATCGTCAATTTTATATTCTTAAATGAAAGTTCATCTCACAGAAAGTATAATAAATGAAACCTTTATCACATTATTATCTTTTCAACAAATGATAATATAATCTTCGTTTTTAGAAAGAGGTTTAAGGTAATTAGGTAACCTAATATTAGATTGTCTAAATTGGGAATAAAATATATTAATGAACAAATCAGATCGAATATAAATTATAACTTCTATTCATGAATAGTTTATTCTTTTATGGGATCAATGACAAGTATCGAAGACAAAAGATATTTGATCTCGGTGATAAAAATTGAAGGCAGAGTATAAATACCACCTAATATGCCGAAATAATTATTCTACAATTTAAACCAGTGTTGGCATTTGGCCACGTCCAGGAAATTTTTTTTTGGCAATTTGGCCGTGGCCAAACAGCCAAATTTCGGCCAAAATTTTTTAGCCATTTTGGCCGACCAAATTGGCCAAACGGCCAATGGCTAACCTCGGCAAGGACGGACACTGATTTAAACCGAATTTCCAGAGTTCTTTGAAACAAAAGTAAATTAATATACCGTTAATTTTTTCATCGTCGCCATAAAGCATAACATACAAAATGACACTGCAGTTCCACACATCAACTTCGGGTCCTGCCAGAAATGACTTTTAGTGATGCGTAATTTGGACCGCAGCACATTTTCAAAAATTCTCAATCGATCATGATAAACGATAATCCATAATCCGCGATTTTTACATTTTGATAAGGATCCAAAAGAAGACTTTTCGAGATATATTGAAGAAAAAAAAAATTAGCTCGCGTTTATAGAAACATTTTTTTACAAAGTTTTTTTTTAAATTTTACTTTCAGGTTTTAATTCTCGGTGCAAACTTGTCTCGAAAATTTGCTGTAAGAATCTTCGAGAATCATCCGAGAGATAGTTTAAACGAATCCTTAAGGATCGATAAATATGTTTAATCAATTTATTCCTTCTAACGAAATAATACTATTAATCTGGTAAATCATTGAAAGATAAAGAAGATTATATGTATTTTTTTTTTAAAAAAAAAAATAATATTTCCTCCAATTTTTGATAGTCGAACACATTTTTCTTTTCTACCTACGAAACAATTTATCCTTTATAAGCATTTTCTGATGTCAAGTTTCAGAGCTCAAGAGACGATTTATTAGAACGGAAATACCAAGATTTTCGTATTATCAACAGATAATGATGTAATTTGAGGAATGGTATTCAAATATTATTTGAAAGATTATATTACTGAATTATGAAATTTTAGGCGGATTAAAACTTAGGTGTGTATATTCAACCTTTTGGATTTCAAGAAAATTTTAGAGGTTTCGATCAATTGACCTTTGTTAATTTCACATTAAAATCAATATGAATCTAACCCACTGTATAATTGTTAAGTTTGGCTGAGGATCCTTCGCTCCCAGGATATATTTACTCCAAAAGTCTATTTATAGTAAACATATGTCCAGGATTACAATGAACAAGTTCCTAATATCTTGCTCAATGCTTTATTATGTCCAAAAAACGAACAAGAGTTTTCTAATGATTTCAGAAATAGACGTTTCGGAAGATGCCAATCTATATCAATTGGTTCTTGGGTTGACCCGTTAGGATTTATGTTATTATTATTATAATTTGATTTTTTTTTTTGGCACAATATTAAATTAAAGTTTTATTCGTTGAATTTGAAATCTGAACAAGAAAAGTATGATTTGAAATACAATATACAAAAAAGTTTTTAAAATTATAAAATAATAATTTAATAATAAAAATTTAAATAATAAATTTAGTATTGTCTGAATAATTAATTTGACTCAATACAATATTTAAAAATATATATAATACCAGTATGTAATTAAGAAGGGCGCCTTGCCTTGCTTTGCTACGCTATTAGCTATGAGTATCCCCCCACAATTTTTTTTTCTGTATGAAGGATTTATATATAGTCGAATTTTTAATAGATATATTTGGTTTAGCAGTTTAATTTAAAAATCTAAAACAGAAATAGAGAATGATTTCATCTTTATATGTTAAGTATAATTAGTGAAAGCCAAAATTTAATTACGAATTTCTCTGTAAATAAATTAAATAAGTAAAAGAAAAAAAACTTCAATGATATATTGTTCTTTTCACGAGCTTACGTGATTCGCAAACTTGTTCTTTTAAAAACAAACAAATCAAACTTATTACAAAAATCGGATGACGGATAATCATACATGTATGGAATAAAGCGAAACAAGTATCATACATTATCACAGTGTTCGGCAAATGACTTGAAATGACAAATGACATGTCATTTCATTGCTCAAATGACAAATGACCCGAGTCATTTGAATGTAATGTTGGCAAGTACTATTATTTTTTTTTTTACTTTTCAATTGAATCACATGATAAGGTATCAACCATTCAAAATCAAATGAATGAAAAGACCAAATGACAAATGATTGGGCAAATCATTTAAATGGTCAAATGACCAGGTCATTTCCGAACACTGCATTATCATACATCGTTAAACCCTTTATCAATCTCGGAGATGGCAGATTTCAAGTCCCACGACATACAAACTCTCCACTCTCTCCTCCTCTTAGTCTTTTTGAGTTTCGTTCATACTTATACTTCCGTTTATTAATGCAAAAGTAAGAGGGATAAAGGTATAAATTAATGTGTCTTATTTTTTTTCCTTTAGCCATCGCATAGTTATTTTTGAATTACCCGACTTAACACTTGTCGCCGCAGTAATTTCTTCCATAATTAATTGTCCAGTAAAAACATATGATGAATGCATAGCTGAAGGGTTAGACCCTAACTGAACTTTAGACCCTGTTCTAGTTCATAAATATTCCGTCACTAATAAAAATATCTCTTTTAAAAAATTTGTTGAAAAAAGCAACAGGCGTTCCAGTAAAAATGATCCAGCCTCCACATATTCTGGTAAAAACGAGATTGATGAAGACAATAGCAAAATTGACGAAGATAATGAAATTGATGAACGATCACGTACTTACCATCATCATCAAACAGTTCCTCCATACAAGTTTTTTTATTTTTTCTTTCCATCGCTTTACTCAAGTACATTTACATTACTATCATATTCATTTGTTTCATTGCCTTATTGTACATTTGTATAATCAGATTTTTTTGCATGATCAGTCAAGTTGATAATGTCCAACATCCACAACCCATTCAATCTTCGCAACCCATTCAAATTTTTTTCAAATTTTCTGAGGAAAGTCGTTCAATATTTATATCCCCAGATATCACCGTCCTTGAGTTGAAAAAGAAAATCCAAGCAATGCTTAACATTGATATGATAAGTCTCAGTTTTTCAAGTAAGCCACTAGAAGATCATAGAACTCTGAAATCTTACAATATAAACCAAAATGATAGAGGCGTTATCAATTATTTTGTTCTAAATAATCAATTTGTTGACCCTTATAATAATTGGAACTTAACGGATATAAAAATGGGGAAAAATTATATACGTGGGGGAAGAGTATATGCACCACCTTATGGATGGAATAGAATCGGACTTAATACTAGGAGGTATGGTAAAGGTAAATGGATGAGTAATGATGCTTCAAAATCATGGTCAGTCTCCTATAATGGCGTTAACAGGGTTAGGGCTGAGATTACTATTATTAGAGGTCAGGAACAGACTAAGCAACAGTTTACAAAATATGGAAAAGGAATATATTCAACTCCCGATATTAAATATGCCGAACAATATGCTATAATAAGAAGAAATCAAATCTTGCATAATAATGATAGGTATTTGTACGTTTTTCAAAATAGAGTTAACCCCAGAGATTTGGAGGACAGAGGTATAGAATGGATTACGAAAAAAAGTAATAATATTAGGCCTTATGTGCTGTGCATTAAAAGATATTATTAGTCTGAATAAAATCTCCGCAAATATAAAGTCAGTGGAAGATATAATGAGTATCAAGCAATTCAGTCTTGATATTTAATATTTTTTCTTATTAATTTTTTTTTTGGCGACGTGATTTGAAATCCTAAACATGTTTCCACTTTCTTTTATATATTTACTATCCTGTTTACTTGCGATCAGTAGACAAGTACATAGGTAAACAAGAAAAGTAAACATATATAATATATAAATTATCATTTATCTGAAGTTTTTATGGAAATAGATACTTTGTTTTTTCCTTGTTAATCAAATAAAATAATTATAATTAGTAATCAATATTAATTACCAAAATAAGAAAAAGAAAAAAAAAATAAAATCGAAAAAATTAGTCAGCTTGCCTTCCCCGTGGTAACGAACCGGACGGTTCCGTTCGAAAGTTCCGTCCAGTTCTTAGCCTGAGAGGAAACCGATATAACTAAAATAAAAATAAAAATATTAAAAAAAAAAAAACTAAAAAAAAAAAAAAATTAATACCAAATCGGCTTACCTTCGCCATGGTGATAAACCAGACCATTACGTTCGGAAAACAACTCTTGCCTCTGTTCACAGCCGGGGAAGAGGAACGAAACTAACCTTAAATATAAGAAAAAATGAAATTTGATAATTTAGTAATAAAATAAAACATAAAATAAGTCTTTGTTGATTCATAAAATATTTATTTTCATGTTTTCAATAATAATAAAAAAAAGTGTTAATAACTATGAATCTAATTCTTTTTAAAAACTTCTTGCATTAATAATTTTTTATATTCAAAAGAATTTTGTTGAGAATTAATAATTGTTATATAAAGAAAAGAATAAAAATAGAGTGTGAGGCACAGTAACGAAATAGATCATGAATAAAGTAAAAGCAACGTCTTGGGCATATCATTGAAGAAAAAAAAGTGGTTTGCAACAACTCATTGGTTTTTCATCGAAATGGTACCCCTTCTTTTTCTAAATAGTTGACTTAGGTAAAAGGTATTTATCATCATTAATATACGATCTTTAAGGATTAAGGTTCTCCTTAGTATTTAATAAGTTATTTTAAACTTTTTTTTCGCTTCATATTTTTGTATAAGAAGGTATAAAAAGGATAGTATTATTGAAATTTTTTCTTTTTAAATTACTTTTGAATTCTTCTAAGAACATAATAAAAAAAATAATAAAAATAAAGAAAAAAATAAATAAATAAGTAATAAAGGAATAAATGAATTATATAACTTTTAAATTTTGTCAATCATAATATTATTTTAAAAGATCTCCATTAACAGGTATTTGTAAAACTTTCCATTTATTTCCTTTATTTTGTAAGAACTATTTAGTAAGATTTGATGAATGTAATATGGTTCTTTCCATTTTAGTTCTAATTTTCAAACCATTGCTTTTCTTTTGCTGCATAATAATACAGAACTTTGTCTTCTATTTTAAAATGAAAGATCTTCTTTAAGTTAAAATCATGACAATTTTTCTGATTTACTTGTGATTTTCCATATGATTTTTAGCTTTTCTCCTGATTTATGATAGATTATTTATTAATGATTCTATATATTGATTTAAAGTCACATTTTCTTTAATTAGTTAATCAAGGAGTAATCATTTATCTCTTCTATATGTTAAATAAAAGGAAGATATTTTTATTGTAGATTGCTTGAAAGTTCGATATGCAAATAAAGTAGGTGCAATTTGCAAATCTCAATTTAAAATTTCTTGGGCAGTTTTAGCTAAAGATTTATATAAAGTTCTATTAAATCTTTCTATTAAACCATTTGTTTAAGAATAATAAGAAGTCAATAGAAGATATTTTATCTTAAATTTATCCATTAATCCATTAACCATTTTATTATTAAAGTGAGTTTTTTAGTCAGTTAATATCTTCATTAGGCATCCATGTCTATAAATAATTTCTTTATAGATAAATTGAGCTACTTGAGAGGCAGTAGCTTCAGTTACAGCCTTTGCTTCTAGTCACTTAGTAAAATAATCAATGGCCACTATGATATATTTATTTCCTTTTTCTGTTAAGATAGAGGTCCTACAAAGTCAATTCTGATTTGATAAAAAGGTGCTTGTATTATGATTAGATATAAATCCTTATATTTGCTTAGTTTTCACATTTATTACAGCTTCTGATATATGCATAAATATTTCTATACATTTGAGATTAGTAATATCTTTTTCTAATTTTATCAAATATAATATCAGTAGTAAAATATCTAGCTGTTGGATCATTGAGCATAACAGGTTTAAGCCTGATTGGTTGATTTTTAAAATAATTATCACATATTAAATTCATATAAAAAAATAATCATTAATCTTTAAATGGATTTACAGCTATAGAGATAAATTCATAAGGGTTGCGATAAAAAATTTCTAAAGTATATCTCTATTTTATAAATTATCAAAATAATTTGATAAAAAGCAAGATAATTCAGAATTTAGCTAATAAGGGTTTCTTTGCAATATGTTATTTTATATATATATATATATATATAGAGAAAGAGATTGAAATTTAAATTATATATTGATATATATTTTAAGATTTATTTTATTTATTTACACAAATAAAAAAGAAAGTTAAATTATTTCTAATAAATAATAGATAATATACAACTATTCTTTTATGTTTTAATTTTATTGTATAATTTTAATTTAAACTTTTTAAACCAAATAACTAATAATAAACTATAGTTTAGATAAATATCTAAATGTATTTTACATAATATAATTTAATAAAAAAATATTTTAATATATTTTTCACTTGTTAAAGATAATTTGATCCTTTTTACATAATATTTTCACATAATTATTAATCATTTTAAACTTAAAAATTAAAATTTTTAAATTTTTTATTAGAATAAATAGTCATATGATTGGTTATTTGCTAATCATATTAGTGTATAATTAGCTAATCACAGAAAAAGCCTGCTATACTAGATCATTGTATATCATATATAAAATAGCTTCTATATTATAAGTTCTAATTACCCTTAATGGTTTCTTTTATTGATTCTATATAAATAATTATTTTAAACTGTATAAGATATGTAAAAATTTTTAAATTGCTTGATAGATTTAGGAGTTATTAATTCTGTGGGAATAGCTTATTATATAATATAAGAATAAATACAATTATATTGATTAATATTCATAATAGACTATATGTCATATTACATATACTTTTGCTTTCACTTTAAGTAATAAAAGTAAAATAAAAAAAAAATAATATATGGAGAAATAAAAAGAAAATTTAATCCAATTTAAGGAACTCAGGTTAAATTTGTTCAAGAGGAATTAAATAAAAAGAAAGTCCTTAAAGTATCCTATGTAATACTTGCATTTAAGTTTCTAATAATTGTATTATAACTTCTATTAGCTCATTCTACTATACTTGATTTTTCAAATATCTAAGATCTATATCTGATTGAATTTGACCTAATTTATACCTAATTATACACTCATGTTTAATAATGTTATATGTTAAATTAGTTTTATAAGCTTTATGATAGGTATGCAGATAGTGGTTTTCTATATCACATGAATAATTATACCTAGATCCTCTACTATTGATAGGTTATACTGCTATAACTTGTTTAATCTTTATATTTATTTTATATATATCTTGTATTTCTTCAGATAGAAATTAATAACCTATAATTATAATTATTGGTTTGATCTAATTATCAAGAAGTTCATTTTCTAACAACTGGTCTTGACTATATGAAGGATTTGAAATAAATCATTCAATCTCATATTCATTATTTTTCACAATATGAAATAAATAATCTGTGATATAGTTATTTTCAATAGAAGAAATATAACCAGTTTCTGAATCTATTTCTGATTCAAAATTTAAAAAGAATACTTCTGATTCTTTCATATTGCTTTTTAATCTTTGAGTAATTTTGAGATTTATAACCATTTTAAGGTTGAATAATCAGTTACTAATACAAAGATTTTATTTTAAATAATGTTAAAATTATATTGTAGTCCATATAACTGCTAGACATTCTTGATCAGTAATGGTATAGTTCTTTTTAGTTGAATTTAGGCTTTAACTTGCATAAGAAATTACATGTTTCTTTCTGTTCAATTGTTCTTAAGAGACAACAGCTCCTAAACCTATTTCAGATACATTTGTGTAAATAATAAAAGTCTATTAAAATTGAAATAACTTAAGATCAGAACATTAATTAGCATTTTCTTTAATCTATCAAAAGCTATTTGTTGCTTATTTTTCCAAAGAAAGGGTTTGTTTTTCTTTAATAAAATGAGCATAGGTTAAGCAATTCTTAAGAAATCTTTGATAAACTTTTGATAATAAGAAAATAGTCTAAGAGCAGCGCAGAGTTGTATAAGATTCGTTAGCTTTAAAAAATCTTTACTTTTTTTATCTTTTTAGAATCTGAATGAATTCTATTTCATCCTATTATATGTTCTAAGAAATGTATATTAGGTAAATAGAAATAACATTTCTTTAGCATAATTTTTAAATTTGCATTTCAGATTACTTTAAATACTTAGCATATATGGTTTAAATGTATTTCAAAGCTTTCTTTTGAATAGATTATTACATCATTTAGATATACTGTAACGAAATCTTCAAGAAAACTTTAATTCATTAAACATTAGAAAGTTTTGGTGTATAGCTTAGTTCAAAAAGTATTACTAAAAATTCATATAATCTGATAAGTATTATAAATGCCATTTTCTTTATATCTGATCATTTATAGTCACTTATCAGTATTCACTTACAAGTTCCAATGCAGTAAACCATTAGGCAGCTCTAAAACTTTTCAAAAGATTATTAATTCAAGATAAGGGATAAGCATTAGTTTTGATAACAGCATTTAATTTGTGATAATCTATACAAATTCTTTTATTATCACCTTTTTTATCTATAATTATCACAGGCGAAGCTCAAGGGCTTGAAGATTTTTAGACTATTCCTTGTTTTTCCATTTTTGATCAAAAGTATTGAACCAC